TAAGTAATTGCCGATTTGTTCAATGAAATAAAAAATTCTTTTTACTTGGAATGAAGTTTAATCTGTAATGTGTGTATTTTCTATTTTGTTCGATGACCTTTTGCCATCTCTCCGACAACTTGAAAATTCCACGCTCGTAGAAAGTCTGATCCTTTTCGGCCAAAAACTGAGTTAAGTGAGATTTTACAGCGTCATCATCTCGTTAAAAGTTTTACCACGAAGGGAGTTGTCCAGAGATCGAAATAAGTGGTAATCCGATGGCGCGAGATCAGGGCTATGTGGTGGGTGTAACATCAATTCCCAACCAATATCCATCAATTTTTACCGAGTGGACAAAGACGTGCGCGGCCTAGCATTGTCCTGCTGGAAAATCACACCTTTACGATTGACCAATTCTGGTCGCTTTTCCTTGACCGCTGCTTTCAATTTGTCCAGTTGCTAACATTCGCGGATAATAAAAAAGAACATAATAATAATAATAATAATAATTTTATAATATATAACATTTGCGGATATCATAAAAATGGGAGTGAGAGACATCTATAACTAAAATCGGCAATTACTTAGTTGCCAACCCAATAGTTTGTTTATTAGAGAAAATCGTTTTTACGTTGATTTAGAGACGCGGCGTTCGGAACGTTAACGTGACGGTTCTCGTTATTGCCACCTAAATGGTAATTTACAGGAGAATTACATTCTCAGCAAGAGTCTTGTATATTGTTATACTGAAAGGGGTTAGTTTTCGATTTTCTTACATACGTGTGCAACAGCTCCAAAGTATTATGAATTAGATCAAATCGAAGTAGTTTCTGCAACAAAATCAACATTGAAACGTTAAGATGCACCGAGAATTTGTTCAACTCTCTTGCATTTTGCAGACTCTAAATAAAAGTACACTGTGTATATCGGTCGGAAAACTCATTTTTATATTTAGACGAACAATTATGTCCTGTTGGAGTTAAAATACTCATCTATTTAAGATGAAAATATGATCGTAGCTAAATGTGCACCGAAAAAACAATCGGAAGAATTCTTTTTTTTTTATCTAGACTAACAGTTGTATCTCTTCATACCTAAAACGTTAATTTTATTTAAGAATAACGTACTCTGTCGTTCTCTTATTTCGTTCATTGAATTCTTTGGTTTAACTCTGTTGGATTTTGCGGATCGTAGCTAAAACGTACACCAAAAAAACGATCAGAAAAATTCATTTTTTTATCTACACTAGCAATTGTGTCTCTTCACGCTTGAAAAGTCAATATTATTTAAGAATAACGTACTCCGACATTCTCTTATCTTGTTCATTAAATTCCTTGGTTCAACCTTGTTGGATTTT